TACAGTAAAACCTTTTTTTGTGCGGTGGATAGGGACCGCATAAAAGAAATCGCACAAAAAAAAATTCGAAAATTTTATAAATTCTGACATGTAATAAACAAGTTTGTACCATATACCACCAAAAACTTTTTTTATGCGGTTGATAGGGACCGCATAAAAAAAGTCGGACTCAGAAAATACATCAATGATTTATGAAATAGATAAGAGAATGCTTTCAATAAAATTAAATAATTAAATTAGACCTAAAGAAATTTTAAAAATATTTAATTCTTCATTGTACATATACATGTAGAAGTTTTCAAATTATACATTAAATAGTTTGCTGCTACTCGTTGTAATCCAAAACGCGCATCTTCTTGGAATGAATTGGTTGAAAATCGCTTGAAGATAGGATTTCAATTGATTTGTTTTTTGGTACCATAAAGTCGGTGATCAGATAAAATAAAATTAAAATCATAAAAACTACATATAAATAGAAACAAAAGTAATTAATTTTTTTACCTTTAATCTCACTTTAAAATGAATCCTTAATCTAATGAATCGTGTATAAAACTCTGAATACGAAGCGTATAGTATTTGAGATACAAGCAGCCGAGAATTTACAAAATAAAAATAACGGTTTAATTTTAAAACACTAAGTTTTTTAACACAGCAAACGATTTTTTACTGATTTACTTCAACTTGTTTAGCGCAGAATAAATTTTAAACAGAAGAGAAAATGGAGTTGACGATAATAAATGAACTAATGAAAGTAAATAAACAGAGCATCGCGAAGTTCAGATACATCGTTGTCAAGAAGACCACGTAATCAGAGTTTGTCCACAACATGCATATGCACATTGATAGGAAACATTAAACTGGTGCTAACGCCGTTAAGATTCATATACCGCATAAAAATAATTCACACAAAAAAATCTCACAAAAATAAAATCACATAAAACCAATCGCACAAAAACAGAATCGCATAAAAAAGGACCGCACAAAAACAAGTCTCACTGTAATGTTAAAGACAAAAAAAAAAAGCTTCCATGAGAACTGTAAAAGATAAATTGATACTCCTGAGTAAATTTCTTTGACTGCAGCAAAATATCTCTAGGAATCAGTATGCCTTCAATGTATCTTACAGTATTTACCAAACTTACTCTTGCATTTTTTTAGAAAGAGGAAGGCCTTCTACGATATTTTTTTAAATATATAAATTAATCAATTGATAGGCTATTTCAGCATTTTAAAATCTGAATCTAAAAAGAATGCACAAACCATATGTAAGCTGTGTCAATTTGACTTAATAGATACAGAATATTATACTTCTTTTTTTGAAAAGGTTAATGTTGGATTGTTAGTTACAAAGTAATCGAACAAACGGAAAAAAAAGCAATTTCTCCATAAGAAATTATATATTTTTGATGTAACTATAAAAAAATTTCCACAATTTTTTTTTAAAAATCTTTTTGTTTAAATCCCTAATTATTTATTTCCTTGTGACTACTTCTTGTATACATCCAATAAAATTTAAAAATGGTCTCTGAGAAAAATAATTTATAAAAATAATTTCTTATAAAACCAAATTTATTCCAACTTTGAAAAAAAATATTTTTATTTCTAATAATAATAATCAGTATAAAGGAAAAATGTGGCGCAAGAGTTTTTAGATATCATGGTCTTTTACTTAATTACTGGAAATTAATGTACACTGAGTAAAAAAAAAAAATTTAAATAAAAAAAACGGATCACACTGAATAACTTTTGTAATAATGTTCGGATTTTCATATTCTAGGACTCAATCTTAATGGCTTGATACATGGTAATTAATAAGTGCAAACGATATTTTAAGTTACGAAATCAGACATAAAAATGTACTTTTTTGACTAAACATATATATTTTTTTGATGGATTCGGATTTCTGACCTCCAAAATATAGGGGGTAGCTGCAATCTGGAAAATATGGTCCCAATATTTTGAACAAGAGAGTAATCCAAAATTTGGACTAATAATACTTTTTTATATATTAATTTTATATTTTAATATTACATTTTGCATATTTCACTATATTTTGAGAACTTTGAAAGCTAATTGAAAATTTTTAGCACACAATTATAATATTCATTTATCTAACAAAAAGTAACTTATTTTATTTAATGATGGTCGAAAAAATTTTGAATTTTAAGGTATTCTTAAATTTTATACTTTACAATTCAAAATTTTTTTTGACCATTATTAAATAAAATAATAAATATTTACTGAAAGTTACTATTTCCATGGAATTCTCTGGATAAATGAATTTTATAATTGGGTGCAAAAATGTTTCAATTATCTTAAAAAGCTCTCGAGATATAGCAAAAAGCAAAACTAATACTAAAGGGTCCAAACTTAGGAGCATTCTCCTAACCAAATAACTGGGACCATATTTCCCAGATATTTTAGGGGTCAGAAATCCGAATCTGTCAAAAAAAAATTTTGTTTACTCAAAGAAAGTATGTTTTTGTGTCTGATTTTGTAACTTAGAATATCATCTGCACTTGTTTATTAGCATATTTAAGGTCACTCCCTCAAATTTTAAGATTGAGTCCTGGAATGTGAAATCTGATCATTAGATCAAAAGTTATTCAGGATGGTCCATTTTTTTAGCACACTGTACATTATATGCTGTACATATAGAGTTACACTTATTTAATTTAATCATGGAAATTTTAGCTGTACCCTCTTTTTTTTCTTCTTTAGTATAATTTTTAGATATTTTTCCTCAGGACACAGAAGCACTCCTGTAAAAAAAAAATTTTAATTTTGTGTGAATACTGTAACTTTTTTCCTTTAATGTGTGAGTTTTTTTTCTTTTATATGATTATGCTTCACAGCATTTTAAGTTTAAAGTCTGCCTAAGAATTGAACCTATGCAGATAAAGCTGCAAAAAATCTAAATATTTTTTAATAGGATCGAAAACATTCCTATATAAAAAGTTAGATTTTTTGTTAATACTTTTTTTTTATTTTAATATTATATTTTTGTGGGTGTACTAAACATTATTTTTCAATTTAAAGTCTTACTAAGCTATCTCCCAAAGAAAATATTCCTATATTCTATATAGAAGTAAAAATTTTTGATAATCAATTGGTTTATAATATGAAACGTTTGGAAAAAAATCTAATAGTAATAAGTTGTCATATGTTAATAAGTCAAGAAATTTTACTGTAAGAACAATTTTTTTAACCAGTATTTATTAATAATAGTTATTTAAATTGTGATTGTTAAGAAGTGAAAGGAGCAAATATAAAAACAGTGGTTATGAAATGAAGTAGGCAAAAATATAATGGTATAATGTTTTGAACATTTTGACATTGATTTAAGGATTTAATTACATACATGACAGCTGTATTTTCAATCCAAGTAGTTCAATATTTTGCAATATTATTTTAAAAATACATTTTAGTTAAATAAATACCTAAAGTTTGAACCATATATTCTTTTCTTAACAGGATCCTAATTTTGTCTATTTGTGTCATCGTATTTTATCTCAGTTTTTTCGCTGTGGAAGGATACTTTTATAAAACCATTCTCCTGCATGGGCCAACAATTTATCCTTGCACCTTAAATGGTAATATTTTATTTGTCTTTCCCTTCTAAACTAAAATAAATTAAAATTTTATTTATTTAAATTAATTTCAGATCCATAATTATTTATATATTGAGGTTTATAACAAACAAGGTAAATACAGAAAATTTTGTATTCCCAGAATAATATAGATCTAAGAAAGTTCTTATGTATGTAATTCTCTATTTTTATCACAAAACAGTTCAACACCAAAATAATTTTGCCCTGCCGCTTTCGATTGTTAGGTAACCGGTTCATTTTGTTAATATGTTTAAAAGATAATTTGTAAAAATTATTATATTCTGTAAAAATACTAAAGTATTACAAGTCTCATATTAAAATATTTTACTAAATTAGCATATTTTTAAGTAAAAGCTGTTAATTATTTTTAAGTGTTTTAATTAATTTAAATATTGATTTAATTTTCATAATTGAATTTTTTGGTTGGAAGGAAATTTTAGATAATGTATTCAAACTACATTCAAATAAATTATTGAAGTGTATATATTTTTTACAGGACTTACATTGTTGTGGTTATTAATAAGCTTAAGATTTCCAGCAAAAAAAACTAGAGAGGAGTTTGATGAAAATGAAGTTTTAAGAAGACAATTTCATTTTAAAAGTGTCTCCAGAAAAATGCAATGAAAAGAATCATGTAAATAACTTTCATACTTTTCATTATTCAAACTTTTCATGTATTTTTAACAACCACAATCAAATTTAAAATCTAATTTGAGAATCTCATTAAAATATATATGTGATGTTGGCAGTCGTGTGAGCAGAACAAGCAGGCACATGATTTTAAAAAGAGCAAATTTGTTTTATTTAATCATTATGAGATGAATGATGAAAGAGAGTGTCACAATTTCGTCGAGCTGCTGCATAAATGTTAGAGAGAATCTTGCAAAGAAAATTTATTATAATCAAATACTGCTCATAAATTATATTGAATTTAATATAGAATTCAAAAACTATTCATATGGAATTAACTCAATCTTATTTTTGGCATAGCATTCATGTTATTTGACATTATGAAGCATTGAGTGTCTAACCTGTCATGCTTACTCAACACGTTTATTTTACACTTTAAAATGTAAATATCATCTAAGTAAGCTTCAAAGTTGCAAAAAAAATTTTTTTATCTAATTTATTTTACATTTTTTTTATATTCTCGTAAACTCTTGATATATTTCTGAACTCAAGTTCTGATGTGTTTTTATTGTGTTTTGTTTTATTGTGCTTTGCTTGTTTTATTGTGTTTTAAAATTAAAATTCTTCAGGCATTTATGTAATTTAGAAACATTTTTAGTTTTTAGAAGTATCTCATAACATTCTCTCATAATTTATTTTTTTATTTTTTTAAAAAATACTAAAATAGTGTTTCATTAAACTTTTTGTTGTTTTTAGTCAGAATCAAAACTGGCATATATGCAATATCAGACCTTATATTAAGAAAGAAATCAAAGTGATTATCAATTTTTTTTTAAAAAATTATTCTTAAATAAATTTGTTAGTAAACAAATCTATTTGTAAATAAATTTATTTTACCCAATTTTTCATTGTATCTAATTTATCTTTCTTTTGCTCTTACTTTTTTATGTTTTTCTTAAAACTCATCTTTGAGGAATTTTTTCCCATAGTTACATTAAGTTGCAGTTGAATATTATTTATGTTCTGACTATCTGCTGAAAATCCTCAGAAGCAGAGTAGTGATATAAAATATTTATCTAGTCATCATACGTATAATTTTTACTGTCATTAAATTTTATGTAATAAATCATTTTGTAGATGTACTCTTATGTGTGTAATCTGTCTATAATTTATAGTGTACAAAAAAATGTTTATTAAAGAGAAAGATTTTATTATTGTTGCATGTTTGAATAATGGCAATTATAGCAATCACAACTGAATCACCAGGAACTGTTTTAAACAGTAATAAAATTATGATATAATAAAATATTTAACATAATGTTGATAGCGATATTGAGAATATTGATAATTTTATTAAAATTAAAATAGATTTAGAAAGCTACATTACTACTTTAAAAAATAGATGATTCTTATAATTTTAATTAATTCGTATAATTATTTATTAAAGAGAAAGATTTTAATTTTGTTACATGTTTCAATAATAGCAACGATAGCAATCACAAATGAATCACAAGGAACTGTTATGAACAATAATAACATAACATAAAAAAGTACATGATTTGTATAATTTTGATACAAAAACTTACACTAAAATATGTTCATAAAAAAAAGGAATTTTCTATGTAACAGAGCTATTTGGAATTGAAAGAAAGTATGAATTCCCACCCATGTAATGACCATCTAGGGACATTTTATGGGTGGAATGAGTTTGGTCTGATTAAACTTTCTGCTTTAATGATTTATTGGGAAAAAAAGTGTAAGAGAGAAAAGCACAGTAAGAAAAATTTAATTTGAAAAATGTTACCATTTTTTAGAAAATGGTTTTTATAATTCATTATTAAATTTATCTGATATGGGGATAGGTTTAGTAAAACTTCCATTTAATTTGTCAGTTGAAAAAGCTCCTTATGTTTACAAGATGAATTTCTTGAACTGAATTTGAAATCTTAAGCTGAAGATATATTGAAGAAAAATCACTCATATACATTTAATATTGACGACAGTAAGTAAGGGGCTACCGGGGCCTAGCTTCCATTTGTGTTGACTAGGAAGTTAGGCAGTTATTAAAAGGCTAGCTTTTCAATTCTGTTACAAATGAAAATAACTCAAAGAGATAGATTAGAACGTCAAAAGCGGCCTGCATTGTATTCTTTTCAGCAGTAATCAATATTTATAATTAGCAATAGAAAAATCTTATAATTAGCTAAAATAATACTGTAATACTAATAAATTTTATCTAATATTTTATATAAGCATTTTTCTTTAATATATTCTAAATATCAAAGCATTGATGTCAAAATTTTACATGTTTTTGTTGCTTTTAAAATATGTTGAATAATCTAAAATCTAGAATATTAATGTTTTTATTTTTGGAAAAGGTAAAAAAAGTGCTTCATGCAATAGTAAAAAGACAGGAAACTCCAAAAAAAAAAGTTGGGAAAACTACTATAATAGAAATGACGTTTGAATGACCTTAGAAAAATTAAAATAAAAATGAACAAATAAAACACCTTAAATAAAAATTTTCATCATTTATTCAATCAACAAACATAGTAAAAATTTTCATTTTAAATATAAATTTTTACATGACATGTAGCCTTTCTTTCAATGGGGAATACAATGTACATAGAAGTATTTATGGGAGTACTATGAGGATTATTTATGGAAATAAAATAAGTTCTCAATAATAAATAACTTGTAAAATATTAGTTGCTTCAATGAAATACTTTTAACAAGAGAAGAATTTTATTTCAACTTTGTTGAAAAAAAACATTTTTCTTTTTTAAGAAAAAGGAAGTAGCTAGAATCTTTAATTACAACAAATAGAATTTTTGTGACTAAAATAACTGAATGCTAATTCTGGAAATAATTCAAACGTAGTGGTAATAAAATATTTGTTTAGTACTTAATCAATAATAGCAAATAATTGTAAACTTTAATAAAAAGAATGTTGAATTGCGCTCAAAAATATTTGTATTGTGTAACAATTACAGAATAAATTTATTTTATGAAGCATTTATAAATAAAAAATATTTAAAATAAATTAACTGTTGCATCACCTTATTCCAAATAAGAATTTGGCTTTACGAGTAAAAGGCACATGTCTAATAGTTAATGAAATTCGAGTACTTCTGATTACTTCACTTCCATTTTGAACTTTACACAAATGAATATTCTTAATCTTTTTGTCAATAGTATCAGCCATTCTTTCACAAATTCCATGTAAGTACTTAGAATACAAGTCATCTTGAACAATAAGAAGACTACATCTTTCCAATAACAAAGAGCCAACATATTTATTTTCCATACTAGAGTTCTGAAAAAATAAAATTCCAGCAAAATATAATTATAAAACCTATTTAAAAAAGAAATCTCTTGTAAATAAACAAAGCAAATGAAAACACTTGTAATGTTGTAATGGTATTTACAAAACACAATCCTTAAAAACTTGCTGCACTAGCTTCATCCAAACAGTATTCATCTTTGAAGAATAACAATATAAAAAGAACTACAATTTTGGATTTTAAAAGTTTCTTTTTCTTCGTATAATGCAGAAGAGAACATATCAAGTGTTCAGTTGGTAATTATTTATTTTATCTAGAATTTTTATTTTATTTTTTAGAGTTCAAAAGAAAAGTTTTAAATTTATGCAATTATTAATAATTTATATAATCTATATTAAATAAATGTTTTCGTTAATGTCATAAATATTTAACATAGTTGTGAAAATGATAATATAGTGAAAATCAAACTAAAGACAAATTGTAGTTTTTCAATTCAACTTGTTTTCATTCTTATTTATTTGCTTTGGTCAGTCTTATATTAATAAAAATCTAAGTTTATTTTTATGTAATAACATTTTTGATAGAGAATTTAAGAAAGGAGCCCATTGAGTGTGTATCAGGTGGTAATATGAACTCTTCTTAACAAATTAATAGATTTCTATCTGAAATATTTAAATCTATATAATAGTAATTTTATAAATCTATATAGTTGATTTTTTTTAATCCCAAAGCCATATTGAGGGTTAAGAAGTTATTGGTATAAAAACTTATAGCATAAAATTATGATGAAATATCAATCATAGCTTTATAAATAAAGTTTAATTTTTTGAAAATTGAGAATAATCACTGAAAATTTGTTTTACAATGGACATTTTAAAAATAGAAAGGCATACAAAGTAAAAAGATATGCATATATCGGAGGTATAATGAGCGGTTCCGAATCCTACAAAAGAGATATAATAGTTTTTATGGAATATCAAAATTCCAAAAATACATTAGTTTACAAAAAAAACAATAGTATTTATTATTTGTATTCATTAAACATGAACCAATATTGTAAAACATAAATTACATGTAAATATAAAATTAATAAGTGAATGAAAACCATAAGAGAATCCAGAAAAGAGATTTCCAGAAGATGGTGAAAAAATTTTATTGTCCACTATAATAGCAATGTAAATTACGTAACACAAATAAAATAAAAGAGTTGCATAAAAGTAGAAAATTATAAAATATATTAAGAAAATTCTGATGATATGCAGACAGATTTCATAAATCAAAATATCTTAGAGTTGAAATTTTTAAAGCCCAGAAAAAATGTTTTTTAGTAATATTTAAAACAAATTAAAAAATTTTTATGTATCTAATAAAAAAATTTAATGATAAAATATATGTTATGACATAAATGTAACTCTAAATACGCAAATTGCAAAACTGATATTGTATATGATTAAATGTTCCAACCTTGTTCATTAATATATTGATCCATCTGCATGTTAATCCATGTTCATACCGCAATTAAAGATTCTTATAATAAAAGGAAAAATCTTCTGTCATTATTTACTTTTGTTTCTTTGAACAGAATTATGTTTAAAAATCTTATTTGGTACATTACTGACACAGGAGAAAATTTTGTATTTATGTATTGTATAATTTTATATTGTATAAATCTAATATTGTGAAATACTAATACAAATATTCTGGTTTTGTCTAAAAAAAAATATATATATATAAGTATATTTTTTAAATATGTTCAAAGAATCCTATAAAATTAGTTCTTGACTTAGAAAAGTATTATTTCCAAGCAAATGTTATTACAAACTTAAAATTTGGTTCAAAACACTAAAATGTTACAATAATTGTACCATTAAAAACTAGAAATGTAAAATTTCTTTTAATGTTTCACACTTTTCCATGATAATAATTTTAATATTTGTTTATAGTTTATAAATGTGAAAATATTCATTTATCATTAGTTCTAACCTCAACCAGCTAAAGATAAATTTGGAAAAAATGATGTATAGAAGATGAAAAAATAATTAAGAAAATTAATTACATTACATTGCAAATTCTTGATTTTGAAATAAGATATCTTTTGTGCCATAGGTTCTGATTAATGAAAGGCATCTTAAAATAAAAACATAAAAGTACTCAGATTGCTTGGCTAAATTATTGAGTTTTTTTAATGATATTTTTATTTAATACCATGTTTTTTATGAAATTATAAAGAATAAAATATCTGAATTTATTTCGTTATGCATTTTTAATTGTTATTTTGATCTATGCTTTCTATATTCCATTTACTGTTATCTATCTCCCTTCACTTTGGTAATTTTTTTTTCTCCTTTGCTCAAAACATTTGCATTTAACATTCAAATAGTCAATAAATCTTCATCAATTTAAAATTAAGTAGAACATGGTTTGATTTATCCAAACATAAATTAAAGCTAAAAAAATCATAAAAACTCACCAATAGTACTTACAATATCAGAAGAATCACTCAGTTTTTCATAATAATCTAGCACTGTGTGAGAGCCAAGATTTATGGTTGCTATTGTAGGATAAAAAAGTGGTCCATCTTCATGAGGCTGGAATTATAGACACATTAGTAAAAGTTTAGTAGTTATAACAATAAAACAAAAGTTCAGTTTACTTCCTCAATTATTAAAGTTATTCAAGGTGATTTAAAGAAACTATTGAAAAATGTAATAATAGAAACGTTCATTTTTTTAAAAATAATCTGCACTAAAAATAATTGCTCTAACTTTTTTTTCATGAATCCAGGAAAACGTAAAATATCATCCACTTTAATTATATAACAAACTAAACTAAACTAAACTCAGTGGTGCGATAGCCCATATAGGGCCAAGGCCTTCTGAGCCCATCTCAGTTTTCATGACCTTGGGCTCTGGGGTGCAGGAGCAAATGTTCCGGTCAGCCGAACGCAGAACCCCCAGTGTTCAGTTCCCAAGCATTTTTGGTACTCATTTATCGACCCACTGAAGGGAAGAAAGGCTGAGTCAACCCTGCCCGGCCCGAGGATCGAACCCAGGACCTGTGGCACAGGAGAGCGAAGCGCTACCACTCAGCCTCCAGGTGTCAACATATATATAACAAAACTGTATGTAAATACTATAAACTATCTTACCATAATGCCTTGCCCAGCAAGATACTCATTAACTAAAACATGATTTGGTTCACATGACTGGAAAATCTTCAAGTTCTGCACTTTTTTAATACAATCTGTTAGCCACTAAATAAAAAACATATATATGGTATAATTTATGAAGTTTTGATATAATTTATGGAGTTTTGAAGTTGATTTCTAGCTCCATTTCTGGATTTTATTGCTTTTGTTTTATCTGCTTTATTATTAATCTACATTAAACAATAAATAGTAACAATGTTAGATAAATGTGACAAAAAAATTCCCACTAACATACTTAATCGAAGGGAGAAAAAAATTTTATATACATATTTATGCAGTCAAACCTCGATATTACAAAATGAATCAAATATTAAATCTTTTTTAAGTATTCAGTCATGATAATAAATGTACTGATACAACAAGTATTTACTTCAAACAATATCAATATTTTTGCTTTTTTAAAGGGTTTTACAATTTGCTGAAATTCGAGTGTTTTATCATCTTCCTATTTTTTTATATATAAATCCAAATTCTTTTGCCTTTTTAAATATTCCTGATTTTTCCCAATCACCACATACTGAAACATTACTGTCAAGAGTAAATACTTCCTCATAAATGCCAGTTTGTTTTGAATTCATTAAATTAACTTTTGGTTCTTTTCTAATGTGATGAAACAATATTTTTATTTATTAGAAACATCTTTAATGTTTACTTCTTTTCTACTTACTAGAAGCGGAAAATTAAGATAATTTTTTATCAAGCACGGTAATCTTTTTTTGATTAGAATTTCAAGAAGGATTTAAATTTTTAGATTTCAATTTTCAAAAAAAGTTTTTAAGAATTATAAAATTAAAAGTATTTTAAATTCTTCAACAAAAATCAGGAAGAAAATCTTTGTGTTTAAAACTATTTTGCAAAATTAAAGGTCACTGAGAAATACAGCTGGCTCAAAGAGGTGTTTTCAACTAGCCATATAACAAACACAGAGTTAATTCATATTCTTTTGTGATAACGCGGTTTGACCATAAAAGATTCAGATTCAACATTTTTAAAAGCATTTAATAGCAGCAATATATATATATATAAACACAAAGAATAAAATAATATAATATAAAAAAACTTTTAATGGGAAAAAGTAAAGGTCTTCATCAGAACACACTCTTTATTCTCTGTCTTAATTATTGAGATTAATTTACTTTACCCCTTACAAAATTTTTTTTACTAAAGTGTGCTCTTAACACAACGTGCACCACCAGACAGAACATTATGAGTCGTAGAAGTTGCATAACAGAATTGGCTTAACCTTACTTGCTTTGCTCAAACTGTAGATAACATTAGGAAGAAATGTACACAATTAAGTAGCTTCACCTTTTCCATTAAAAACATTTATCAAAGGAAAGATTCTCACATATTTCCTTTCTAATTTTTAATTTTTCGGAGTGATAATAATGTTATTTTAACTATACTCTTATTTTGTATTCTTTAAATTTTACGTCATTATCATTATAAGATAGGTGCATATAGAGGGCTAGGCTGGTACATAGTTATTCCTCAGTTTAAATTCAATATTTCTTAAATATCAACCATGCAGTACACAAAACAGATTCTATGTACTACTTAAATACCAGCTTGGCAGAAAAATTTAAGACAAAGCTAAATGGAGCTATTTGTAGTATGGTATCACTTTGTTCACTAAAAATAGTAATGTTACAAGTATCTATTTTTGCAAATTTCTCTTTGTTTATACAGATAACTTAATAATATGCATATTTTTCTTATCAGAGAAACACATTATTTTGCAGCATATTTGTCATAAATAAAGCCCTTTAAAACATGCTAAATAATTATTTGTCAAATCAACATTTCCTCTAATTATAAATCCTTTTATCTACCTTGAATGAAAATTTGAATACTTATCCACTTTAGTTATGTGCCAAAATCTGTTTTTGCCAAATATACAAATTCATATATTGCAATCTATTAAAATATTTCTAAACTATTTTCAGCATTTTTCATACAAAGAATACAATTATTGAAAAAACATAATTTGTAAAAGAAAAAAATTTTCATTTTAATAAAAAAAAAAAATTTTTTTTACCTGTGGCAGGTTTTCTTGAATCATGCCTTTAGGATGAGGAAGGCCACCTACAACATAATATTAGCAATATAAAATATATGAAAAAATGTTTGAAGACTAAAAGCAGACTTAATTTTAACCTACCCCAATTTTGTAATCTTCTGTTAGATAAGGCTTTCCATTTGGGTTTGGGTGAACTATAAACTTTTTTCAGGAGCTCATCTTCTTCTTCAGAAGTTATGAAATTTGGTATATAATAAACAGAATTTGGTAACTAAAATAAAAATCAGTTTCTCTTAAGTTTTGTTATAAAGCTATTGATCTAAAGTATAATTATTGCTCAGAAAGTTTGAATTCTACAGAAATGTACATTCTGAAAAATATCAATTGTATAAGAGGCCACATCTCGCAAGACAAGAACTGCACAACTTAGAGTTGACAGACAATATATAATGACACTTCTAGTACCAACAGAAATGAATATTATAATGTTAGGCTTTTATATCAATAGAGTACAAAAATAATCAAAGTAAAATATTAACTGTGAAGAAGTAATCGATAGGTTTGGATAAAATAAAATAAGTAATTTAAACTGAAAACAAACTAATAAATAACTTTTTTTCTCATTTACATATATTGTCGACAGAAGTCTTAAAATCTTTAAGCTAAAATCGAATTACTTGTGATAAAATAATAAAATTTAATTAAAGGCAATCTTTAAGTTCTGTGAAGTTTTTAAAAATGTAAAAAATAATTCCTCTGTAATATCAGCAAAAGTCAGGAAACACACGAATAACACATTGTTTAACCTTTCAATCAGAAATTATAATTAAATAATTAAAAGTAATTGCATATTTCTAGCAACTGTGTAAGAAATTTACTAAGATCATGAATACATGTTCAGAAAATCATGTAGTCATGATTTAGAGATAAGATTATAAATTTAAACATTATGAAATCATTTTAGTTATAGTAAATTTATGTAGATAAAGTAAATTTTCATATATAGATAAAGTAAATACAAGATATAGTAAATTTTTGTAGATAAATCTTCTTTTAAGGGTAATTCTGGAGATTTTGGTCATCATATAGGAAATAATAGTAGGGTTCTTATATGTTGATAGACTTTAAAATAATATTGTATCCATTCATTTTAATTTATGTTAAGAAAAAAAAAGGATCGTTGTATTGGAGAAGAGCATTCTTCACTTGTATATACAAATAACTAGAAATTATGCAGTCTCTCTAACAGGGCACTAAAAATTCAATTGAGAAAGTTTCTCTCCAGAAAAAAAATTATAGCAGGATAACAGTTTCCAGTTCTCTCAAGTCCATATTTATTTAATCCTCTAAATTGATAATTTCACTGAAAAGTGTATGTCAGTAAACAACTGTGGCGTAACTACCACTATAAATATTAAATACCAATTCTCTAGTATATAAGACATGTTAACTTGATTCTAACACGAGGTACCTTTTGATAGATGAAGGTTGACATAGTCTAAGATTAAATTCCCCACATTGGTGACCTACGGACCACATTAAGAAATTGTCAATATTGATGGATGAATCCACATTAAAAACAGTTGATTTGCCTAAAAAAATATACTGCTCAAAAAAAAAAAAAATCCGGTGAAGTAAATAAAGTCTCCCGGTTAATAAATAATAATGAGCGAAATGCTAGAAAAAAAAATAATAATAGCGAAAAGCTATAAAAAAAAAATGATGGAAAAAAATAGCGAAAAGCTATTAAAAAAAAAAAATACCGAGCGAAATGCTTGGAAGAAAAAAATAAAAAAATAATGAGCAAAAAATTGAAGTTAATAAATAAACAGCATTAATCAACTAGTGGCAATTGTTCATCGAATTCTATCACAGATAAAATTCTGGAAGGGGAGTAATGTGGCGTAACTACCACTATAAATATTAAATACCAATTCTCTAGTATATAAGACATGTTAACTTGATTCTAACACGAGGTACCTTTTGATAGATGAAGGTTGACATAGTCTAAGATTAAATTCCCCACACAACCATTGATCTATATCATTTTTAAACACTGCATTGTTATATAATCTGAAATTAAATATAATGAATTAGATATTCATTGTTCATAAGATAATAGTTTAGTTATACAAAGACGGACAGCGTTAATTAAATACGTATAAAAATTAAAATTCTAAGACAATGGCGATTTGATCAAGTATTCATTTGAATTTCATTGATTTCACTCTTAATTAATGTTCTAAAATTGGTCGAATAAATAAAAAAAAATTTAATTTCATGATAATAAAATAATCCTCTTTCTGATAATCCTAAAATTTAATTTCACAGTATTTCTAGCTCAAGGAAAGAAGGGAAGGAAGGGGAAGAAGAAAAAAAAGAGACATATATAAAACCTCTTTCAACTTGTAATTTTCCAATTCAATCATTTGACATCAGATATGAAAAAAATATATATATTTTATAATAAACCTATCAAAAAAAATGCAAGAATTGTACGAAAAAATAAAATTTTCGATTAGTATTTGTTTAGATTTTTCCACATTAAGCATTTGGCTATCTATTTAATTCATTTTAAGCTTCATTTAGCTGATAAACCATCTTATAAAAATTTCAGCTAAACGATATAAATAATACCTGAACAACCTCCTTTTTCCTTTTTTAATAATCATTGCATTCAACACTCTTATTGGTGTTTTAGCATCACATGTTTTCCTGCAACCAATAGAAAAATATAATGAAGATGTGAGTAAGTGTTAGTCTGAATGTTAAAATAGGACTAGTGAAACTAATACTGAAAAAAATAAATCCCTCTTAAAATATTGGAAAAATGTTGGCAACACTAAGCATGTCGGTTAAAAAACGAATATACCCGCGGTCCTTGTTGTAGTTGAAACGACGTCTTGGGCTGGTAAAGATCACGAATATTTTTCGCTGATCTTCATCGAATTTGTAGGTAAGCATACATTTTTATGAGCGTCAACTTAATTCAGAATCTATTTTTACGTTCGTTATTATATCTTAGATTTTAAACATTGTTTAAATTTACCTTTTTTGTATTAAATTTATTCAGTTGCATGTTTAACATAAAAGGGCGAAATAATTAATTATGCGCTTGGGTTATGGTTGAGTAAGAATTTCATATTTTTTAGGTTAGTGCATGTAAATTACACTGATTAATAGTGGAGCTCAAATTTTATCTAAATGCTCTCACGAAATATAAATGACATTTAATTTTATTAAATTTAAAATTGTATTAATCTTCAAACTTTGCATCTTATGATAACTTTGCTTGGGTAGCTTTTCTAATATAATACTTCGTCTGCTTGTGCTAATTATGATTAAAACTATTATTTCAAATAAAGAAATAATTTATTTGAACAATATCAATTATATATATCTTAAAAATATTTATATATATGCTATTCACATTTCAAATTGTTGAACAAATAATGAAATGTATATCGTTTTTTAAAATAAATTTTTTAGTAAAGGTGTTTATGAAAAAGAATCATCATTTAGTTGTGTTTGAGAAATCATTATAAATTTTTGAGCAATGGCTTATTTTTATTAGTGTCCTATCATTTAATAAGATGTTTCACTAAAATGAAATGATTTGTGTAGTAATATATATACATGTACAAAGAAAAATGCAATTATGCTACTAGTTTGCTATTATGTGTGTACTCCAAACTTTACAAATATTTACTTATAAAGGCTGGACTGATAAATTCTGCTACCAATGTTATCAAACCACTTCATTCAAAAATTTTAAAATCTGTTCTAAACCTATCTCAGTATTCCAGTTGCTAGCAGCTTTTTAGCTAAATAACTTACGCATGTAGAACTAAAAAGTGTTTTCAAAAAGAAAGCAAGCAAGAGTATGATTACAATGTTTTTTTTTCTCAGAAACAAATCTCCTTTTGCAACATTTATAGAAAAGTAAGGATACTTGTTTTCTTTCAAACAAAATATGATTAATGAATCTATCGTAACCTTTTAAAAGACATTTAATAGTTATGAATATGTACTAGAGATTTCAATCAGATTCTAGAATAAGACATTTCAATTCCGACATGAAGAGTCAATGTAAGGTAAGAAGTTGATATTTCACTATCTCTCCAAATATTATGTCAAGGAGCAGCTAGGACAAGAGTTGGTCGTCATGTCATTCTTTTCTTTTAATTTTTCATTACATTCCTTCAAAATCTAAGATCTTTAACCTATATTAAACAGTGGCATCAATAGAGATAGTTGTTTGATTCATTTCTATAAACCTTTTCTATTCGTTGTCAATGAAAAAATATTTATTTAGAAAGTTCCAAACTGTTATGTTGTATATAGAATGATGTATGTTGGAATGAACTGTTGTTGGATTGAACTGTTGTTGGATTGAAACTGTTAGGATGTTCTAATGGGCATTAATTGTGCTAAAGAACATAGGCTATGTTTATATAATTTGCTAATTATTTTGTTCTTCACTTTTATTTTATTTATTTTTTCATTCATTTTGCATTTTAAAGATTAAATATACTTTTTTTCTTACCTGAGCAATTTTGTATTTAAATGTCAAGTTAAGCAACCTTAAAATGATTTATTCATTGCCAGAAATCTGTTGCAGGTTTGTATTTTTCTTGTGCTTGTGCATTTATGTTCTAGTTCAGTATTTCCCAAAGTGGTACGCCTATCCCCAGGGGTTCGGGAACAGTTTAGCAGGGGTAAGCGTTCTTATGCGAAATATCTTGCAACAAACTAAAATTTTATTTTAAAACAAAGCTAGCCATGAAAATTTACGACTACGAATTTTTCTATTGGCTATTTTTTGCAGAGTTAACAGTTAATAATTAGGGGTATCAATAGCCGGTTGTGATTTTTAACTTTTGGGCAATTTTTTTACAGTAAAAAATACATTCATTTTGTATTAGTGGTACACAGCTTTACAAAAAATTTAGAAAGGGTACACAAAAGTTTGGGAAATGCTGTTCTAGTTGATAATAATCTAATGGTATGAGGGGAAAAAATTCCAATAGCACTGTCTAATGTTTCTATAATTAATCCTTATTAAACTTCTTATCCCTGTGGTTTGTGGTGACCTTTCTGCAAGATGCATTTAAAAATAACAAATACACTTGTTACTAAATTAAAGTAACAAAAGCATCAACTTCACGAAAGAGAAAAAAAACTTTTTGGATCAAATAAAATAATTGTTTAATTATGTGTGTAATATATTTTATTATTCTTATATTCTCACATTTTGTAGGGGGAGAAACACGCTAATTATTTCTTTTTTCACATTTTGTAAATCATCATTTCATTTTATAAAAAAAAATATTTAAAAATCGTTATATCCACAGCAATAGATCGGACTCTTTAGAAAAGGGTTACTAAATGCTTGTTTTTATATCAAGATTCAGTTGTAGTAAATAATATATTAAAAATATTGGATTTTAAAACTATTTGGAAATCAATAATAATTACTGTATTAAAGAAAATTATACCAAAATTTTCTGCAGAAACGAAAACCAAATTTTTTACTTTGTTAATCTTTATTTTTCATTGTTCTCAAATGAGAATAAAAAAAAAACATTTTTTTTCCTTGCGGGTGCACGAATAGAGCATCATTTGAATATAATTCTGAAAAAAAGATAAAATACTAAGAAAGTTTCTGCAGAGAAAAAAAATACTTTTTACTCCTCAAAGGAAATATCTTTCTGCAAGTACTTGGTAACGTTCTGTTCTGCAACAATGTCGCCGTCTCATTACCATTCTGCCACAGGGGTTTTCTTCACCCATAAACAGGTTTGAAGAAATTGTTTTTCTATGCCTTTTGATTTTCTAGAAAGCTAAATTTATTTGCCCTCTTTGATTTCCTACATATTTTCTGTATCTCTTTCTCGTGTAAGATTATTTCTGAAAGTGACTAATAGGTTTAGACCCCTGGCCCACGAACCGATACCGGTTCGTAGATCAAATTGCACCTGGTTGTCCATTTCATTGAAACTGAATTTAAATTCCTAGGTTTATACCCCAAATTAAAAATATACGTGTTCCACTAAAAAAAAAAATTTTTTTAAAATAGGGGGCACCCCAAAGGTAGTGACATAAATTTTTAAATGTTTAATGTAGCATTGTCTATGATTACCCCCAGATGGAACCGTCTTTAATTCCAAGGAAAAATGCTCAGGGTTATCTTTGATTTAACGTTCTAGTGAGTTAAAATGTTAAATCACTTTATATTTATATTTTGTTGTAACTGTATTTTATTTTGAAGGCATGTTTAAATACAATTAAATGTTAAATTAATAAATCAAAATAATCTAATATATAAACAATCAACGCCCCTCCGCGGGCCGCAGTAAAATTGTCAGACGCTGGCGGGTCCTCTGTGATAGAAAGGTTGGGGAATACTGGTTTAATGTAATGCAAATATTGTAAATACTGGAGTTAATGCTGTCTTATCTTATTTAGTTGTGAACTTAATAAATAAAATAAAAATCAATATAATCATATAAATTATAGTCCTGAATTATGTAGGCATTTTAGATAGTTTATAGGGATGTTTTTTTTATTAAGTTCAATTTATTTTTTTGATTTAATGAATATTCAGTAATTTCTTTCTCTTTAAATTCCGCATCTATATTTCTACAAATTTTAGATATTTCGTGCTTGATTCTTTGTTGGATTTAAAAATCCATTTGATAACAGTAATATTTTTACTAAATTCTTTGCTATAGTTGTGTCTGTAATAGTAATTTCTTAAAAAATTGTTTGGTCTTGAAGGCATTCTATTTATTGCTAACTTTAAGAGGACCAGAAGATTTTTTTTTTTTTTTAAATATTGCTAAGTTTGAAAAAAATATTACTTTGGTAACCTTAAATTCGCTCATTTCTTAAAATTATTACCACACTTTTTCAACCAAAAATTCGTTTCATATAAATTTTAAGGATCAAGCAACCTAGTATTTAAATATCTATTTAAAAAATTCCTCTCCAATCGTTTGGAGTATTGGTGGTGACTATGGTCACTAGGTTGAACCATTTCAAGCAGCTAGGAGTGTTGAGTAAATATTCTGGACATGTCTTCACAGGGGTATGCAAAAGTATTGACATCTATTTTTTTTTTTTTGGTACTCTTTCTTGTTTCCATTGTAGTCAACAATTCCAGAGTCTGTGGGGGATAATTCTTTAAGTACTCGAACTGTACATTTCAAGCTTTTAAGATGCATGATTTATCAATATTGGTTAAATTTGAAAATTTCATGCCTTTTGGTCAAGTCTTTACTTAGCAATTTCTGACTCTTCCAAAGATTTCTTCTAGAAAAAAACCTATTCCTTTAAGAGAGGGCACTGAAAAGAAAAAAAACTGGGGAAGTTTAAATCTTCCAAAAATGTGATTAAGTGATTAGTATTGTTATAAATTATCTAATTTATAATGCTTTTCCAATTTTATTAAAAAATTTTCACACAAGAAAATTTTTTCAAAATTTTTTATGAAATTTGTATGGTAGGGTGACCCGGGGTAATTCACGATCACTTTGTTTCTGGGGTAAATAATGATCACCTAAGTTTTATTTGAAAAAAAATCATTTTTTTTCTAAATTTGAGACATGCACAAGAATGCTTGTACGCTTTACTAAGGTATAACTACATTTGCTTAATAATAGTTTTTTGTTTAATCTAACAAAATAAGTATCTTTTAAACTGCTTTCTGTATTTTCCATTTCAAAGATGGGTTTCAAAAAGTGCACGTTTCTGCAAAGATCTCCCTCCTTCTCTTAATAATAAATATTTTGAGTTACTTTCTTTTTCTTTGATATGAAAATTGTGTTAGCTCTTATTTAATTGTTTCACATCTACTGTAAACATTATAATTGATTATAGGAAACTATATCGAATGTTGCCCCCTACACGTGGGGTAATTATTGATCACTGGAGTAATTCCTGATCATTGTCATT